ACTTACCATACCTTCGCTCTACTCTACTGACTGTGATGGTATGCCGGCAGCAGAAATAATTACGATGTACACGTACGTATAATTGTACATGATTTCCTACTGTTGCATTTTTTGTTGCATTATGTTCGAATACCCACACTGTACAGTACTTGGTACTCGTACTTCTGTTAGAAATTGTACTGGTAGTTCAATTTTCTTTTTTCATTGTGTATTACCGGTACCGGTRCGTGCTTAGCTTACGTCAGAGGTGAACTAAGGAAATAAACAGTGGTCCCCACGTTGAAAGACAAGACAAACGAAGAATTAACTTCGTAATTATCTCTGATCCCGRATATCGCCCGGATAGGAAGAACACCGCAGCAAAGAAACAGGAAGAGACTGGACACGTTTTTCATTCGCCGACAGCACTAATTCTGTTTTTCACTGATCTCCGCTGCGGAGAGAGTCCACCATTTCGAATTTACGGGTGGCGTCATCTGCAACCAAAACAACTGGACATTTTACGAAGTACGCTAAAGAGTATCCAATATTGTTGTTGAAGAAGGCCTTCTACAAGCGAGCACGTCGAGTATATGAAAGATCAAACGCTTCATTTGCTTCAAACTTTTTGCCTTCAATGTTACGAGGACAAAACCGACTTCCCACGATAGCAGCATGAACAAGCAAATCGATCGCACCGCCCCCGTCGTTTCTAAGACTACTTCATTCGGAATGAGAAAATCAACATTCTACTTCTTGGTGGCTTGCCTCTTTGGTAACTCGTCCTCGCTGTCATCACAGCCACATAATAGAATGGGACCAAAATGTACCGAAGAAAATATAATCGAGAGCAGAGTGAACGAAGCTGTATTTGATTCTCTGAGCGAATCAACACTCTCTCACTTTTCGTCGTCTAGTAAAAGAGGTTTCAACAAAACGACATCGGATTCGATCATTGGCGGCCGACAAGGACAACAGAGGTCGAGTCTTATGCAATCTAATTTTCCAGAGAGACTAAAAGATTCTTCTACTTCGTCACTATCGAGCACTTCCATACTTCCTCAGTCGTTTAGACTGGTCCGTAACGATGTTATAGACCAACTGAGGCGAAACGAGAACTTTGATGACGCGAAAATGATAATTTCTGGGATGATTGAATACTTAAGAGAGAACTGTTTGTGCGTTATCGTTGAAGACAAGAACGAACCGCTTGAAACGGAAACGACCTCAGCAACGTCAGCTGAGAATAGGACGCAGATATACGATCAAAAGCAGTACAATAAACAAATAATTTCGCCCCAAGACCATAGAGATATTTCGGAAACAATCGACGAGGCCTTCCAAGCCTTTTTTGCACGGGCGTTTGCACCGATATCACTCAACAACGACAACATAAACCGGAACAAAGATCAAAAGCGAAGCTCTTGGAATCGGGTTGCCCTTGGCATCGAATTGCTACAGTTGCAGTTGGCATCTTCTGACGTTCTAGTGGCTCCATACCATAATATTCCGAAAAGTGTTATTGTGAAAGCCCTTGCTGCAGTAACCAGATTACAGGAGAGGCAACAGCGAGGTTACCAGCAAAACCGTGTTGATATGAGTGATGAAACTCTAATTATCCATCCCGATACCGCATTTCGACTTCTGCAACGGCTTGCGACAGGCTTTGGGGTTCGGAATTCACATCGTTCGCAATATTTTAGAAATTCAGAAAAAAAAGTCAGCAATGGAAAGAGTTCTGCGCGATTGGCCCCACTCCATGAAGTTGATTTCAACCGAGTTCTCAATATTTACTCAAGTACAGGAAAAATGGAAATGGCCCATCGTGTCATTGCACTCCAAGAAAGAACCCCACATGCTCCTGCCTTGTCTCCTGTCACCTATTCTATTCTTGTCAAGGGCTACGGTAAACTTAGCGATGCAGAAAACATCGATGTGCTCCTTCGCCACGCAGCAGCGATGGAGGAAGGTGAAAGTATCATGAAACCAGACACAATATTTTTCAACTCATTGATGGATGCCTACATAAATTGTCGCCAGCTTCACAAAGCGCAAACCATACTCATGGCGATGGTCTCCAACGATAAATTTATCAGTGATGCAATCGACAGAAGGGTACCAGAACTGGATTTGAATAGCAATAAAAACAAATTTTTTACCTTCCCCCCCAATGTTTGTCCTCCTCCCAATCTGAGGTCGTATAATATTCTACTCAAAGGGTACGCCAAAGAGGGAATGTTGCAAGATGCATTGGACCTTACAAATGAAATGATCTCTATCGGATCGCGCAGTAATAATTCCGGACAGTGGTGGGACCACGTGACGACTAACACATTGGTCCAAGCGGCTGTTGTTGCAAAGGAGTTTGATATTGCTCAGGATATTTTGGATCGACATAGTTTGTCGGTAGGAAGCTTCAAAAAATCTCGTAGTTTGGATCATCCAAACGCAGATGCATATACGACCCTGATGGACGGGTATGCGAAAGATAGTAAATTGAAGCAAGCCATCAAGTTGTTGAAAACTATGAAAGACCGAAAAGTGAAAGCCAATGAATATCATTACTCATGCTTGATCGGAAGTCTAGCGCATGAGGGAAGAATCGAACATGCTGAGAAAATGCTAGTCCATGTAAAGACTCATGGAGCTATACCTCGAAACCAATTGAGAGTTATTTACAATGCCTATATTTCAGGTTTAGTCCAAAAAACAGGACACTATTCTACTAACGCAGTCGACAATGAGCATGAACAAAATATTAATAAGGCTCTATTGATATTGAGAGAAATGATCGAAGAAAGAATAATGCCCGATGCAAATACGGTAGCGATCATTCTTGATGGCTTCGGTCACTGTATAAAACCACGAATGAAAGAAGCCGTGACCCTGGTTGAAAGGTTGGAGACACAAAGGATTATACCTATGAACCATATAAGGGTCACTACTGCTTTGGTTCGCGTTTGTGGTTCTTGCCAGAGTTTAGACGGAGCCGTAGCATGCTTTCGGCGACTTTCACGGCCGGATGTTACTGCTATCAATGCCCTGATTGATGCCGCAGTTCGAAGCGGTAATGACAATGTTGCGGTTGAAACTTTCAATAGATATTTTTCAGGTGATATCCCTCGTGCAGTTCCAAACGTAATATCATTTTCGACCTTGATTGGTGCTCATATGAAGAAAGGAACATTCGATGGATCTCGAGCTGCTCGGGAACTATACCAAGATATGAGATTCCAACGTCGGATCCTTCCTGATAAGGGTCTTGTAGATGTGTGAGTTGTTATAATAACGAGATATGCTGGATCGCACTTTGAAGCGCTTTTCATCGCTGACATTTTTCTCAAATTTTCAAATTAAACATTGCAGCATTGTGAAGGGCATCGTGGATACAAGCAGAGCTTGCGGAGTACAAGCGTCTGATGCMCGTTTTGTTGCTGGTGTCTTGCGTGACGCTGAAAAGCTTGATTGGGAAGAAGGCCAATTGGACCGAAGAAAGAGAGCTGTCGAATCTGCGATGAATAACCATGTTGCAAATGCTTGGGAAGAAGAAGCCGAGCTATACGGATTGTGGAAGAAAGATAGCTCCAGGAGCAATCTGAAGGACAACAATATGTTTGAGCGGTATGGTTGGAATAAAGTCGATTCAGGTTTTCGATTATGGGGCCCCGGGAAGGAGACAGGAAGCACCACCGATGATTTCTTAGAGTCAAAGGGGTGGAACGATATAAACTCTGGATTTCGTGTTTTTTTTTAACGCTATTTCGACGTGAACGATAAATTAAGAATTAAAGAAAATACAGTAGTTCAAAGTTTGTCGTAGTCCCACTTAAGGTGGATGCTAATATATTGCTTTCCTTCCATGTCCGATTTGAAGTTATTTTGTCTTGACTGCATCTATCAGGTGGTTCGCATAATCCTGCCCGGTGTATTCTATTCCAAAATCGTCTACGCCTACTGTGAAGGATATATCTTGTGTCTTGTGTAGGAATAGTCCTTTGGTATGGTGGTGCCTTCTTGTGTTTGTGCTTCTCCAGGTGTTGTACTATCTTGCTAGAATTAGTCCATACCATGCATGTTTTATATTGGTATACATGCATACCTTGTGTACTGTGTTGTGTAGTTTGTAGTGCTCCACAATAGGAGGGGGAGTCAGCTCAACATTGAATCGTACTAGATATTCTGCATCCTTCAATCAAGAATCRAGATACATGTTGGATATGTCCCCAGTGCACTATTTTGCACTTTTGGTCAATAGTATGCTGTTCTAGTGGGATTTGATTGTTTCCATTACCACTGCTTTGGGGGTGGTGACATCACCAAGGTACTCAAGCAAGTTTCCAACTGCAGTGATGCCTACTCTCCATGTGTCATCCTCTTTCTCTGGTCTGTAGGCAGCTGTGTATCTTGGATAGGTTGCATTCTTTTTGGGTCTTTTGGGGGGAAACTTTGTCTGTTTGGATCCACTCAAGAATATCCATGTCTTTTGTGTTCTTGAAGCCTTGGAATAATCTACCAAATTCAAACCTGCCCTATCAATTCCATTTTTGTGCGGTTGTTTAGTCTGGATGTTTGATGAGATCTTTGTATGCTGCCATCTTACCAAGTGTCTCATCCCATATTCTTCCTCTGATAGCATCATGGTGGTGGAGTACAATTTCCTGGCTGGTCCAGTGGAAACCCTTGRTGAATTCAAAAGGATTGAGTTCAACATCATGGTAAGGATCCACTAGGTTTGCCATCAATGCTATAATGCCTTCTTCTTGTTCTTCTGTGAATGTTTGGTCTTGTACTGTACAGCTCTGGTGTTTTGTTGTGGGTATCCAACATACATGCACCCTTGGAGGTGGCATTCCCATATGGTATTTATMAGTTGCCTTTTGTTTGAGTTTGGTTATTCTCCTGTCCATACCTGCATCCTAGTGTTGTATCACAAGAGTGCAGTCTAGTCTCTGTAGTTGTTGTCTACATCTATGATTTCACCTTTGTYGTATTATGTTCTAACTTCTTGTTCTTCTTGGATGATGGTTCTAACATCATAGAGATTGTTGGTTCTTGTGTTTTGTTGTTTGGTATGAAGTTTTAGTATTTGYCTTTGGTGTGGGCCTTAGCTGTGGTTTTGATGGATCCTTGGTTTGTGTCTTGCTGCTGGGTGGCTTTGGTGTTGTCAGCACTTTAAATGATAATCCATGTTGGATTTCTTGTGTTGGGATCACCCCTCATTTTTTKAGCAGTATTGTCATGTTTTTGCGTTATGTGAATAGGAGGTTGATGGTGCTTTGTAGGGCTTGGCAAATTAGGTGGCAAGGCCACCTGGTCATGAGTGGGGTCAGTAGTGGTGAGGGTTTCTTTATGCTGTGCAGTGACATGTCAACTGCTTCTGTTATGATAGATACTGGGTCTAAGCAGCAGATTGATAGGAAGTTGATGGTGTTGGAGATCCATGTTTTTTTTTTCAGGTATGTAGCACTTGTAGTTGTGGTAATATTGAGGTACAGGGCCAATGCGGTATCCAGCAGTAGCATGGTAGTAAGCCACAGCTGCTTGTTTTTCTTGTCTGTCACTGGTACAACAAGGGGTGATTTGATGAAGTCAAAATGTACATAAACTTGGACATAGGCTAAGAGCTCATGATTGAGTCTGGAGGGTCAGAGTAGGTTGAGGGTACTAGTCTCTGCATGCGGTAAAAGCAGGTCCCTCTCTTTGGTTTCCATCAAAAGTGCCACTCAAGACAGAGAGATAGTGGTTCTTGACTTTAAAAAAAATCTTAATATTATATTTAACCTCATGAACTAGAAGAGGCACTACATGGCCAGAACCAGAGCCTCTCTGGACTAGGGAGAAGAATGCTCCTAGCTGCACCAAGGGGCGGCGCCTCCCTCCAAGGAGGTTTTGTGGAGGTGCGACCAAGTTTTATGCACACTGACAAGCCAATTAAGGCAGGTTGCTGGACTCAGAGGACATAAAAGCAGTTGGTTCACAATTTTGATGGGTGAGAACCATGCCATTATCATTTCAAAGGGCACTGCCAAGCCTGAAGGCAAGTCACCACATGCACCAGTGATGAAGGAAATGTCCCCTCACCCCAGAGGGCAAGGACACATGCAGTGGGGTAGTCAAAAAGAAAAAATCAAAAAAAAGAAAAGCCAAAAAGAAAAAGAAAAAGAAAAAAAGGAAAATGTCTCACATCTTTCACCAAATTACAGCTGAGCCCACCCAAAGGAGCAGCTGTTTGAGCATCTTCTTGAAGAAGAAACTGGGGATAAATCAACAAATCTACTAGGCATGGGGTAAAATACTTGGAGTTGTTGCTGTTTCTATCCACCAAAAAAGACAGAAACAACAACCATCATGACCAGAAGCACTGGGGCTTCTGGTCCTTGAGAACTGGGGATGGATCCAGCTGAGGCAACTGCACTCAACTGGAGAATAGTGGAACTGGGGTTGTTGTTATTGCTTTCCAGCACAAATGTCAGAAACAACAACAACATGACTGGAAAACTCCTCTGGTCCGYAAATCAAACTGGAATACAGTAGGRACTACATGGAGATCTTTAAAAACTGAGTATGTGGTATGTAGCATATACTCCAAGCATTGTTCTTCAAAGGTCTTGGTTGAATACTGTAGGCTGGGGTAGGTTTTGTTGCTTTTTGGCACAGATGTCGGAAACAACAACAATCGTGACCAGAAAGCATTGCTGCTTCTGGTCCTTGAGAACTGGGGATGGATCTAGCTGAGGCAAACTGCTGCACTCAACTGGAGGGAATAGTACTGGGAATGATACTGATTGATGCAGTATCCTGGGGGCTGGGGTTGTTTTTATTGCTTTCCAGGATTCATGCTGGAAACAAGAACAACAACAAGGAAAACGTGACCAGAAAACTCTTCCAGTCTGTAAAAAAAACTGGAACTGCATGGAGATGCTGGGGAATCTTCTTTTATATTATGAGTGTAGCATGTACTCCAGGCATTGTTCATAGCTAGGATTGGTCTTGGTTAAATACTGGGGTTGGTGTTGTTGCTTTCTAGCACAAATGCCGGAAACAACAACAACRCGACTGGAAAASATTGGTTCTGGTCTGTAAATAAAACTGAAAWACTGTACTAKGAACTGCATGGAGATGCTGGGGAATCTTCTGTAGAGTATGTGTGCASCATATACTCCAGGTGTTGTTCATAGGATTGGTCTTGGTTGAATACTRGGGGCTGGGGTTGTTGTTGTTGTTGCTCTCCAGCATGAATGTTGGAAAAAACAACAACATGACTGGAAAACTCTTCCAGTCCATAAATAAAACTGGAATACAAGAGGAGCTGCATGGAGATAAGGCTGGGCCCCAAATACGMCAGGCTTTGTGCTTCAATAGGTCTTGGTTGAATACCRGGATTGTTGTTGTTGCTTTTCCAACATGAGGGCCAGAACACAAGCAACTTCAACGCCGGAAGATACTGTACTTCCGGAGAACTAGAGATCGATCCATTAGCTGGGGTAAACTGCCACTACTAGCTAGGGAGTATCTATGTATGTGGAATAGGCTTGGTTAGATTGCTTCTTGCTGTTTAATATGGCTTGAATGGAGCCAGGGAGGTGGATTTTCCCCTTCTGAAGGGGATGTCACCATGGTTCAGAAGCCAGAAGGAGCTTGTCAGGTATGAATGTACGTAGGAATCAGTAGGAAATCTAGGTGATAATTTTCAGAATGGAAGTGCAATTTTGTGCGTTTGAAAAATTCGTTTTGAAAATTATAATGGTTCTTAAATAYATGGATACTAGCTCCTTCAGCATAGTTGACATGGTGGTTGCTAGGGAAGGCTAGTTCGTAATTTAGTTCTTTGTTCTTATGATAGAGATCAAGCATTTTGAAACAGCATTATCAAGGCAAATGACTTGGACTTGAAGTCCAGTCTCAGATGAATTGCTTRTAGGCAGCTTTGAAGCTGGTTGTAACATCCTTGGCCCCCAGAGCATTATGGGGGAGGGTGTAATTGATATCATAATCATATATATTCATGATGTAGTACTGGTGGCTCCAGGCTCATGTGATAGKGTATTGATCTTCCAGATCCATGATAGAGATTGTGTTGTTCAGTTCAGATGCTGCCATGCTCCTTAGTACTTTGTGAGTTTGCATTTGTCATCCACTTGGCTTTGGTGTGCTGCAGATGCCTTGGTTGATCATGTGGAGTTTTCCAAAGTTCTTTTTCTACTCTTTTGAATGTTAATCCTGGCCAACTGAGGAGGAGGTCCCCTACCTTTATAGCCTTTGGGATGGTCTGTTTGGGAGGGAATCCTGCTGTTGTATGGAAGTAAACAATGACTTTTAGTACTGGTTGGTGTTTGTTGTGTTCAYGTGGTCCTTGAGCCTCTTGAGTATATTCTAACTGCACCCTTGGAGGTGTTGCAGTAGATTTTGGCACCCTTGCACCTGGTCCAGGGGGAAGAAGAATGGTGAAGAAGCAACAAGTGTAGTAGTGGAGGGCTCCTTGGACCACTTCAGTGCCAGTCTTGCAATAGATGCTAGAGGACATTAAAACCATTGTTGGTGAGTTTTGGGATGGATATCAGGAGAGGTRTAAATCAGCATCTTTAAACTTGTTGCATGTTTTGGCACCAGAGGGAAGGTTGGACCACATAATATGGTCAGTAGTGGTGGCTTGTATCATTGCCCACTAGTGGTGGCTTGGGGGTCCTTGTTATCCYTGTAGTTCTCAGGGAGGAAGTGGTCTGTGGCCCTAGAGCCTATGGCACCCATGAGCAGGGCTGATGTTGGTTTTGGTACCAAGGTGGTCACTACAGGAGGAACGGCAAAACAAATGTGCAGATTGCCTTGTGGTCCAAGTGTACTGAAACAAGTGATACATGAAATAATAGATAAACTATATTGGTTACAGTCAGGGTTAGAGAGACACTTGCCCCCAATCAGTCAGGCATTGAAAAATTGGTCAAAGGCAATCCAGGTTTCAGGCTGGCACCATTTCATCCACAGGTCATTCTTGTTGATGTTGCCCTTTCCCAGTTAAAAGTGCTGCTCTTCTTTGACCCATGCCTGGGGAGTTGTTTGAGGCAGGAGAGCATGTAGTCCTTGGTGTTGTACCATAGCTTCACTCCAGAGGAGCGACACTGGAACTTCCACTGCTGGCGCCATGTATCTGATCTGGTCATGTGTCTATTAGGCTCTCTGGTTGACTCTTGTAGCCATGGGGGCTGTTGTTGCTGGAGCTCCTAGCTACAACGGAGTCACAAGTGGCAGTTTGTATTTGGCCATTGCTAAAGCAACAATTTTCTGTAAAATAGGAGCTAGTGTGTCAATTGTCAATGCATTAGTAGTAGGTGCTACTGTGTAGGGACTCCTACCAGCAAGTACTATAGGAGTGGTCAAAGGGACTGTAGTTTGGATTGTCAAAGTAGCTGTTGGAAGTTCTTTGAGTACATCAAAGAGTTTGTTGTGAGTGCTGTTGAGGTTATCCATGTGGTTCTCACGGCTTGCAATGGTGATTTTTCCTTCTAGTTCAACAGGTTCCTCTTGTGTTTTTGGGAGGCTCATGGATGTGTCTGCTGCAGTTCCTTTAGCTTGCTGTATCATCCTGTAGCCTGTTTTGCTCTTGAWAGCAAAAGATTATCCTTTATTTGGTGGTTGTAAGTCAATCTGCATTTTGAAAAGGCATTGACACAGAGAATCCTCCAATGTCTGCTAGGTACCATTTGTGGACCACCTTGAGGATATAGCTGCTGATGAGCTCCTCCAAGCTCTTCCTTTTGTGTTTGGCTGCTCCCATGTTGAAGTGATCTTCACWATTGGAATTGGGACTGTTCTCTTCAGTATTGGCATTGTTGTATTTGTTGGCATTGTTTTTGTGATCCAACATGTTCACTTGGTCATGGCTATCAGTATTTGAGATGCTTTGAAGTTGCTGTTGCTGTTGCTGTTGTCCCCTCCAGTATCTACTGGTTGGTTGGTCTCAGTCTTTTTCCTGGTCTTGGTGTTGCTTTTGGTGAATGTGCAGTGCTTCCTTGCTTGATCTTGTTGACACTCCTTCCAGGAAGAAGAAAGTGTTTGTTTCCAAGCTGGGCTTGCTGATACTTGTTTGTATATTTTGATTTGGTTTTTGTTCTTCTAAATGTAAGAATATCTAAGAAAAATATTTAGGACTTTTTTTTCTTGTGTGTGTTAATGACAGCTGTTAAGTTATATTGCCYATAACTTGCCAGTACCTGCACTTGGCAGTTCTGGGGCCATGTCAATTTTAATTTTTACCAGAGCAAAAAATGCATTCCTGAACTACCCCTACTAATGATTAACAAAAAAGATAAGAAATAAAATTGTATTCCCAAACTCCCCTGTTCAAAGAATGTGATCATAATCAATCACAAAAAGTGTGATCAAATCTGATCACAAAATTGCTGAATTTCTTGATCACAAGCATGATAAGCATCCAACCATAGACGACTGTAATGAACCAAAAGTGTGATCCACACACAGCATCTGATCAATGTAGTATGCAGCCAGCAGAGCCACCTGTATCAAAGTCTATGACAGTCCTTATCAGTCCATATCAGTTGTATCATCATGTGAAGAAATATTATTCCTCAGTGTATAGTATCTTCACAATCCTCCATATTCAGTAACCCTGGCGTACTCAGCCTCGGCACTGTCAATCGGCACGTAATATGCTGGCACTGTCTCCATTGGGATTTTCAATCACCAAAAAACTATGATCAATTATGATCACAATTTGGTGGTCACAAAATTCAAAGTTTTGATCACAATTTTTTGTGATTTAAATTGATCACAATTTTCAGACCCAATCCGGGGGAGGGGGGAATCCATGATTGATTGCAAGGTTCCGATTCAGTCGTGCTTCCGTTCACATGAAAACTTTTTCTTTAAGGTTCTACCTCTGATAGCAMTACGTACCGTATCATGGTAGAAGTACTGGTACGTAGTTTGCGGTCGTGGAAAGTCTCATCTGATTTCATTCTCCCMGTGATCTCACCGCGTGAAAGCAACACACGATTAAAAACAACGATGAAAGAGTTGAAGAGATCCCTTTTGAAGAATTCTGAACGAACTACAAGGACTTTAATCAATCGGGGCAAACAACAAAAACAAAATACTATACCGCGATGATAGCAATCAAYAATCTCATGCTAACCAAACAAACTGTTTTGAAGAACAAGGGGATAATGATGAATGTGAATTCATGCAAGAAGTCTCGAAATGAGATAAATCCCAATGATGTATTATGCGGTCGCGGAGGACTGACGAATTCGAACATCGGTAACAAACGATTTCGATCTGTGGTCGCCAAGTACCAGCAAGAGTACCTTCATGCACGGAAGAATGACAAAAAGCTAATTGCTCGAAGAATCATTACTGAAATAAAAGAGAATGATGGACGTTTTCTACAGCGAAGTTCTGATCCGAGTATCTGGTCTGAAATATCAATGAAGAAGGCATTAGAGAAGACATCTCAAGCTTTAAGAGAGGGGCTGGATGTACGGCACAAAACGGTTCGTCCGGAAAAATTAGTCCACAAAATAGATATAGATTCTAACAGGTGGAGAACACCGAAGAAGACGGAAGCTAGAGTAGTTGAAGGAGTTGTTATCGAATCGCCAAGCAAAAACGAAATTGTAAGTGGAGAGGACGTTCCTAATTTTGTACAAGAGTCTGAAACACACGAATTCGATCCTATATTCACGTTCTCCCATGCAATGATATCAGAGCAGAAAGAACATATTCAAGAATCAGAAAGCACGAACATTGAGGCAATCTGACGTCAGGACCACCATTGAGAAAACATGAGTACATAAATTTCTCCTAGGGTTACAGGTTGAATAGATAAAATGAATCGTAATAGAGATTGGTTGTAGTCAAAGATTTGCTTTCGGTCTCTTATTTAAAAGATAACGTGATCTGTCTCGTATCGCCGATTCTAGTTTCCTTCAAGGCATACCATGGATGGAGCACGTCCAAGACCGTTGGCCTGAAGTTCTGGGCAGATCTCAATTTCTTGCTTCTGGTATGCTGTTTTGTACCACTCAGCTGTGCGGCGGATGCCTTCTTCAAACGAAATTGTGGACTTGTATCCTAGGTATTCGTRTGCTTTTGCCACGTCGGCGCAAGTATATGGGACATCACCAGGTTGATCTGGAAGGACCTTRATAATTGCTTTTTTCCCAACGTACTTCTGGACCAAGTCGATAAACTCTTTGAGCGATGTTCCTTCGCCCTTTCCAAGGTTGAACACTTCATACTTGTGACGACGATCAATTGCGCGAATAACGCCGTCGACAATGTCGGAAATGTAGGTGTAATCACGACTAGAGGAACCGTCTCCAAATTGCTGCATTTCTACTCCCCGACTCACACGATCAATGAACTTGAACGGAGCCATGTCTGGGCGTCCTCTCGGTCCATAAACTGTGAAAAAACGAAGTCCCGAAATGTTGAGTTTGTATAGGTGGTGGTACGTGTAGGCAAGAAGCTCGCAAGCCTTTTTGGATGCGGCATATGGACTGACAGGATTATCCACGTTTTCTTCTTCGGAAAAGAAAGTCGATTTCGATCCACCGTACACGGAGGAGGACGACGCGAAGACAAAGTTTTCGACGCSATGCTTGTGCGACAATTCCATAAGCTGTGTGGTACCCTTGATATTAGAATGAATGTAAACGAAGGGGTCTTGAATCGAAGGACGGACACCAGCACGAGCTGCCATGTGACATACCCATTTTGGCTTCTCCGTTTCGAATATTCGCTCCATCAAATCTTGATCGCAGATATCACCACAATAGAATTTAACTCGTCCCTCCTCCGGATAGGACTCTTCCAGAAGTCTGAGATTTGCCTTCTTAATATTGACATCATAGTAATCGTTCAGCTCGTCCACAATGACAACATCATCCCCTCGGGCAAGAAGTGATTCAGCCACATTGCTTCCAATGAATCCCGCACCACCGGTCACGAGAACTTTTTTGTAGCCAATGTGGGGCATCACTGGTGTGTGGGTCGATACCGGCAGATCCGAAGAATTTTCAATTTCGGAAAAAGTCACAGAGCTCCCAGACCTATGCATCGTCTTACTGGTTGCTATGTTGTTGTTGTTCGAGGTCGAAGCCTCAGAACCTGACGTATTCGATAAGCTGTCGTCATCACTCGGCACTAGCACTGGCATGCTTGGAGATTGTTTGAGATTCTTCATACTGGTGCGGCGGGAAAGTGCCTCCTAAACATTTGAGGAACATTTACAAGTTCGTGAGGGCCCATCGATGTTACCGAATTGAGTGTACACATCTTCTTCACGATGATATCTTGTATTGGGACAAAATTCGTATACCTTTCAACATCTTACCTTTGACGCAACTCCGTTTGAAACCTAAGAAGGGGAACGTCTTTGCAGTTTTTAGGCCGTTCCTCGAAGCGAGCAACGACGATTACTTTGTTACGAGTGTTTTAAGCTTGGTCCAAAGCGAATAACTCACAGCGGAATGGCAGTGAGCTCTCGAGTCTGGATATTCAACAAGACGATAGTAGATGCCGAAACTTGAACAGCAGCTCAATATAATTCTATGACAGAGTYGGGATGTCTCCAATGGTAGAGAATCTTTGAGGAACTGGTAGAAAAACTTTCAGAAAGTTTCCGCTTCAAAAAAGAGGAAAAATTTCAAGGCGGGAAGAGCAATGCTTTGATGGCTGACGTTGCGGCTAGTCAAATTAAAAAAGACCTCTCATAGTATTATTTACTGTACAGTAAGTACATCACTGTATTTAATGTAACATCATCATTGTTCTCAGAACGCATCGGTACCGTACGTAACTAACTAGTGTACCTCCTCAGGTAGCACGGTGAGTTATGATACAAGTTTCGTATCGTACCGTAAGGTACGTACTACCGTACGATACAATCAAAATTTTACTGCTTCGGCTCCCGGC